CGAACCAGCTGTTTGTGGCGGTGGCAGACCGGATGAAAGGACTCCTGGTCTCATCTCAAAGAATATCTTTCTGGATCACAGCCTGCATCTGCACATGTTATGAGCTGGCCAAGGTCCCAGCCACAACTCTTATGGCACATTCCACAAGGGCACAAGCCTCGTCAGCTGCATTCCTGGCCCAGGTCCCAATACAAGAGATCTGCAGGGCAGCAGCTTGGTCATCGGTGCATACATTTACCTCTCACTATGCTATCACCCGATACGCCAGAGAAGATGCAGCATTCAGCAGGGCGGTACTCCAATCAGTGATTCCTTAACTTTGACTCCACCTCTGATTTAGGGCTTGGGTGTCACCTGATTGGAATCAACGTGAACAAGCACTTGAAAAAGAAAAAACGGTTACTCACCTTCTCGCAACTGTTCTTCGAGATGTGTGGGAGCTGACCTTATCTGTGAAAACCAAAACAAAAAAAAGCATTGAATACTTCAGCTTTTTCCACATCATCTGTCACTAGGTTGCCTCCCCTATTCATTAAGGGTCCCATACTTTCCCTGACCTTTTTCTTACTTGCTAACATACCTGTAGAAGCCTTTCTTGTTACCCTTCACATCCCTTGCTAGCTGCAATTCCAGTTGTGTTTTGGCCTTCCTGATTACACCCTTGCATGCTTGAGCAATATTTTTATACTCCTCCCTAATCATCTGACCAAGTTTCCACTTCTTGTAAGCTTCCTTTTTGTGTTTAAGCTCACTGAAGATTTCACTGTTAAGCCAAGATGGTTGCCTGCCATATTGGCTATTCTTTCTCCACATCGGGATGGTTTGTTCCTGCACCCTCAATAAGGCTTCTTTAAAATACAGCCAGCTTTCCTGGACTCCTTTCCCCCTCATATTAGCCTCCCAGGGGATCCTGCCCATCAGTTCCCTAAGGGAGTCATAGTCTCCCTTTCTGAAGTCCAGGGTCCGTATTTTGCTACTCTCCTTTCTTCCTTGTGTCAGGATACTGAACTCAACCATCTCATGGTTTCTGCTGCCCAGGTTGCCACCCACTTCTACTTCCCCTACCAATTCTTCCCTGTTTGTAAGCAGCAGGTCAAGAGGAGAATGGCCCCTGGTTGGTTCCTCCAATAGTTGCACCAGGAAGTTGTCCCCAACACTCTCCAAAAACTTCCTGTATTGTCTGTGCACTGCTGTATTGCTCTCCCAGCAGATGTCAGGATGATTGATGCCCCACCATGAGAACCAGGGCCTGTGTTCTGGAAACTTCAGTTAATTGTCCGAAGAAAGCCTCATCTACCTCCTCCTCCTGGTCTGGTGGTCCATAGCACACGCCCACGACATCACCCTTGTTGCTCTCAACCAGCTTTTCTCCAGTTTGATACTGGAACTCTGAGCAATCATACTGCTCTCTTACATACAGTGCAACTCCTCCACCTTTCCTCTCCTGCCTGTCCTTCCTGAACAGTTTATACCCATCCATGACAATGCTCCAATCACGTGAGCTACCAAACTAATCACACCATAGTTCTTTGACTGTGCCAGGACTTCCAATTCTTCCTGCTTGTTTCCCAGGCTGCTTACATTCGTGTATATGCACCTAAGATAACTAGCTGATTGCCCTACTTTCTCAGTATGAATCAGGAGCCACCCCCCATTGCACCTTCCCCATGATTCCTCATGGTATCCCACTTCCCCACTTACCTCGGGGCTTAGGTCACCGTCCCCCGGCGAACCTAGTTTAAAGCCCTCCTCACTACGTTAGCAAGCCTGCCTGCGAAGATGCTCTTCCCTCTCTTCGTTAGGTGGATCCCATCTCTTCCTAGCAATCCTTCTTCCCGGAACAACATCCCATGGTCAAAGAATCCAAAGCCCTCTCTCTGACCCCACCTGCATAATCACGCATTTACCTCCACACTTTGACAGTCCCTACTTGGGCCTTTTCCTTCAACAGGGAGGAGGGACGAAAACACGACTTGCACCTCGAACTCCTTTATCCTTCTTCCCAGAGCCACATAGTCTGCAGTGACCCGCTCAAGGTCATTCCTGGCAGTGTCATTGGTGCCCACATGGAGGAAGGGGTAGCAGTCCAAGGGCCTTCTGGTCAATGGGGTCTCCTTCTAATCCCTTCCCTCAGATGGCTCTTCCAAATAATTCTCCGCAGCAGTACCTGTGCAGAGAGCCTGAAAATGATCAGTCACCTTTGGTAACAGTCACTTTTGGTAAATAATAATAGTGGTTATTATTCCTTCTAGGCAGAAATCAAAAAATGTCCAATAGAGCAGGGTTCACATGTGAAAAACAAGAACCTTTAAAAAAGGAAAATCTATTATTCCTGAAGTACTGAGCTATAGTGTAGTACTGAAAAAAATATTTATTCTGGCTAAAAGTGAAAACTATTGCAAACGTACATTGTATAGCTGAAAGTGGGGTGGAAAAAGTGAAATGGAATTTACAATGTTCCAGTGAAATGAAAAGTGGCTTTTTAAAGGCAATATTTTTTAAATCAGACTGCCACTGGCTAGTTGAAATTGGTATCTTTTTGATTCTGTATGAATTTTTATTTAGCTTTCTGAATAGTGGGAACCATAATTAATTTAAAATGCAGAAAACTGCTAGCTATGTTTGCATGACTTAAATTATTTCTGGCAGGGTTTTCAAAATAAAAGACTTTTGTAGAGCCTGTTCTAACAACAATGCTAATTTGTTTCCCTCCAGTTCTGAGATCTGTTTCAGAAGTATTCCTATATATGGTATTCTTGTGCAAAGAAGCATTTCTCACCAAGTTTATTTTCCAGCATGGCTAACCAGACTTTCTGGCCAGGACCCTTCAGAGTGCTCAAGGTGTTTGGTTCCTTTGTCTCCTCAAGTGAAGGATGCCAAAATGGCTTTTTCTCTCTGTTTAGAGCTTCTGAAAATTCATTGACTATGCTTCAAGAGGCAGGAAGGTTTCCTGTGGGTGTAGTCTCTATCCCCCATCAAGATTAAGTGGTCATCTTTCCCCACTTGCCTTCCTGATGGCTTTGTTTACCTTGCATATAAATATGCTTTTCTTTGTCTTTGGTCTCAAGTAAATTCAAGCAAATGGAATCACATTCCTTTGTCTGAAACAGGCATGGCTTAGGCACTGCTTGCCAAATGCATTTTCAGAACACATTTTCAACACATATCTATAAAGTCCTTTGTGGGTTTACCGTACATACAGCAGCAAGAATATTAATGATCAGTAACAGAGGGGTAGCCGTGTTAGTCTGAATCTGTAAAAAGCAACAGAGGGTCCTGTGGCACCTTTGAGACTAACAGAAGTACTGGGAGCATAAGCTTTCGTGGGTAAGAAC